ACTGTTATAATGCATAGTGCAAATATGAAATTTTCGCACATTTGCTGCGATCGAACGATGCGACTACGACGACAACACAACTCATATTGTCGAAATATTCTAGCGGCGTAGTAAGTTTTAAAAAGCGACATCATAACGTCACACACAAACAGAGAGTGAGAGAGAGAGCGCGAGTGGGAGAGCCAACAGCAAGCGCCAATGAGAGATACCTCTGCAGTTTTTTGTTGCTTGCGCGCATTATCATGTGTGCCTATGCGTGTGCATGTGTATGTCCAGAAGGAGAGAGAGAGCGAGAGCGCATCAGTGAGAGCCTTCTAACGGCTTTAAGTGAAGCGCAACCTACAAAACCAATGTGAAGAAGAGAAGCGCACAGGAAAGATGAAAAGCTAAGTCAACGGCGGCAATAGTATTTCATTAATATTAACAACCTACCCCACGTTGGTGGGGCGAACGACAAACGATATGCTAATAATGTACATAGTCATGGACGATCATTCTGCTCTCATTCGTTTCATTCTCTCTCTCTCTCTCTTTTTAAGTCTTGCTGCGTCTTTGGCCGCAGGCGCCTAGAACTTTCTACAAATTTACAAAAAAACAACAATTGCCCAACTACTCGATTCGTTGTTTGTGTCGTTGCCGTTATGCTTTGTTGTTATTTTTATTGCTGCAGCTGTTTTTGGTTGTTGTTTTGTTTACGTATTTAGAGCTATTGTGCATGTGTGCGTGTCTGACTTGTTTTTGCGTGCCTCCACAGACAGAGTCGCCAGCCAAACTAAATTAACTCTCTCGCTCTATTTATATGTATTTATACATACAGATGTTTCTATGTAATTATATACGCGTGCATGTGTGTGTCTGTTAATTCGTACTTGTGTGCGTGTGTGTGTGTGTGAAAATTTGCTCTCCATGCCTGTGTGGTCGAGTGAAACTGAAAAATGTAAACAAACTGATTATCAGCAAGCCAGCGAATAAATATAAATAACACAATGCTAGCCAACAACTCCAAATACAAGCCATATATTGTCTAATCCTTTTGGCACCCCTCTTTCATCATCTCTAATTTCAGCGATGGTCGTTTTAGTTCATCGTCACGCAAATGTTTGACAACGACAAAGCGACATTTTTTGCACATAACACTCACACACACGCATACAGTCAACTGTTACAGTTACTCTAACAGAACTGCACCAGTAGCCTAAATGTAAGCGAGCGTCGCTTATTCGTGAGTTTGCTGTCTTTCATGAGTTTATGTGCATGCATATTTCCTATTGGGCACTAAGTTATTCTTGCTGTGATTGCAAGCCGATGTATTCTACACATTATAAATAAATTAATAATTAAATGGAATAAAAAACTGCATATAATATCTGTATTAAATGATCATAGTTTAAAGTTAAAAATTAGTATATTTAATGATCCAAATCATAATAATTAACTTGATTCGTTCCACAGTTATCAAAACCCCAATTCCCGCTATCGTATAGCAAATCTGAGCAATCTGTCGTCAAATCTCTCTCCCTCTCTATAATATTTTTATTCGCGTGCTTTGGGCTTACCAAAAACTCACCCTGTAAACAACTGCAGCAAAATAGACCAAATTCTTGCAAAACTTTCACAAAAACAAAACTCCACCTAACCTTTTTTTCTGGACCTTTACCCCACTGTTGGAGCTGTTGTTTCTATTTGCTTATTTATGTATTTATTTTTTTTTTAGCCAAGCTGGCAACGCTGCGCGCATAGCTAAGCAACTTCGCAATGAATGAGTAAACAAAAGCAAACGCTGGCGTCGCAGTTGCAGCCAGCTGCGCTGCCTCGCTGCCTGGCTGCCTGGTTGGGTCTGTGCTTTTGGTTGCATTGCTTTGACTACTGCTGCTTATTTGCGTTTGCACTTCTCGGTGCGGCCCTGCACCGCCCCACCCCAGACCAACCAACTCTGCTCAGCTCGGCTCGGCTCTGTAGGGGGCCCGCGCACCAGGCGCTTTATAAAAGCGCATGCGAGAGAAAACAAAACACGCAAATTACAAACACACAGCAGCGACAACAACAGTTGCTACTGCTCCAACCAACTACAAGAACAATAGGAAGCAGGCGTGCATTTTATAAACACAAACAAACTGAAAGGGGATTAGGGACAGGGATACGAGCGAATAGACGAAACGAGCAACGGGAGTGGGAATGGGAATGGGCACGGGCGGCGTAGCGGTATCAAAATGCAGTCTACGCGTGAGGCGGCACTGACGCCTCAAGTCGACGTCGACGCAGACGTCGCTGTTGCTGTTGCTGTCGTTGGGCATAACCACAACATTGCGGGACGCGAATACCAGCAGCAACAACAACAAGACATATTGTTGTTATTTGGTGTCTTGGAGAAAATTCCACAACAAAACAGTTGTAAAATATGAGCAAAATATATACAGACATACACAAGCATAGTAGTGGCATGCGTACATACATATGTTTTTACTCAGGTATGTACAGTGGAAGGCTAAGTGTGGAAAAGGTGGGCGTAAGCGTGGGCGCCAGCACCCAAATAATGACGAGTAACAAAAACAACTCGGCCATGAGAAGAACAGTAAAAAGTGCAAGCAAGCACTCTGTGGGAGTGTGTGCGTGTGTGTGGGTGCGAGGGCTTTCAAGGAATAGGAATAGAATTTTATGTTGCGCTAGAAAATATATTAAAATGTATGCAATTTGACAATATAATAACAAATAGAGTTTACCCACACAGCTAAAACGAGAATATTCAATTCCTACTGCGTACGGAAATTGTATTTATTTTTTAGAAATAACAGCACAAGCAAATGAAAACAGGAGCAACTAAAACAATACTGCTGCTTGGCATTTTGTTTTGATAACTCTGACACACAGCAAAAACAACAACAGCAGCAGCGGCAGCAGCAACAACAACAACATAAAACAAATGAAAACCACAGGCGCAAGTAAAAATAAAAACAAAAGCACACAAGGAAAACGAACGGCAAACGAATCACAATCAACACACACATATGTATACATGCATGTACACACGTACACACAATGTGTTTTATTTACATACATACACTCACACACACACTCATATACACGCATACATGCATGAGAGGGGCACAAGACAGGCCACGGGGCAACCACAAACCAAAACATCACAACAACGGCAACGGCAACGGCAACGGCAACGACGACGACGACGTCGACGTCGACGACGACGACGGCAAGTGCTACGCGCATTTTGCCGTGCAAAACAAACATTTCATCAGACAAAAACAGAGCATGTGAGCGACAACGGCGACGAAATGTCAGCAGCGCGCGTTCCCCTCATCGGTAACGAAAGCTTGCTGCTGCTGCTGCTGCTGCTGCTGCTTGCTTGCTTGGCGCGACAAAGCAAATACATAAAAACAACTCACGCACACACAGTACATTATTTAAAGACGCACACATATGCCATATGCACAGATTCTCTCGTAACTCAGGGCAATACCTCACGCATACAGCAGCAAGTTCCTAAGAAAAATTTATGCGTAAAATTTTAATTCTGTTTTGATCGTCAACAACAAAACACACCGACACACACTCACACACAGCCAGAGACAAAAATGATACGAACAACGATTGTGTGTGAGAGAGAGAAAGGCATAGAGAGAGAGAGAGATAAATAGTCGCTCTCTCGCTGTCGGCAGCAGAAATAGCAAGTCACTTGCGCACATGGCGTTTCATCGGACTCTCAGTCTCAGCGTATTCAGCACACAGTTAACTTTGCGCTTTTGATTGTAATTAACACCCGAGTGACAGCGGAGAGTAGCGTGCGTGTGACTGCTGCAAATGTAACTTTCAAATGAAAATATTGAAAAATATAAATATATTTTATACATGATTTTTAATTTCATAAATAAAACGTTAAAAAAATACCCTTCCTATGCTTCATTCATAATTATAAACATTTTTGGGTTAATAACACTTCTTTATCATCCTTTGCTATTCATAAATTTTTGGCGATAAGCACACTTGTTTTCTTTCTTTATGTCAATAATTAATGAAGGCCTACACACACATATACACATGCACATAGATAAGTATGCATGTATGCACATGGGCTTGATTCACACCCCTTGGTCAGCCATGGGTTATACAATAGGTCCGCTTGGCTAGTCAATGGTCACACACACCACATTCGCTCTCCTCTCTTGCTCTCTCTCTCCCTCTGCTGTGCTTTGCTGTTTGTTTGTCACCGTGCTTATGCCGATGTCATTGGAACAAATGCTTACGCATTCGGTTATTTTTTGCGCTGATTACTCACCGCTCCGAAATACTTCAGCTCTTTGGTTTTGATGCGTCTGTGCTGCGATGCAGGCATCGTTGCTCCAGATGCTGTTGTTGTGGCACCAGTTGCACACCCCATCGGGCCGGTGGCTCCACCATTGGCCGCTGCAGCGATGGTGCTGTTCTCGTAAGCAGCAGCAGCGACCGCTGCAGCGGCCAGTCCATTCAGTCCATTGTGCGTCGAGCTGGACGATGACGAGGCCGCACTGCCGCCCATTCCCGCGCTGGCTGGCAATCCGCTCAGGCTGCCGCCGCCGGCTTCCATGAAATCGAAACGCTTGAAGGCATACCACTTGGACGGATTCGGCTGTATGCCCTGATAGATTTTCACAAACATTTTGTGTTTCTCGCGCCTGTACTGCGTGAGCAGCACGTTCATCTTGCGCTCCACCTCAGCCTTGCTGCAGCCGAATCGCTCCGCAATCTCCGACCACGCCCGGAACCGGCACAGCTTGTCCTTGTACTTGGGGTCGGCCCGATTCCACAGTTCCGTATGGCAGCGATACTGTTCAATTAACTCTAAGGCATCGTCGTTGGTCCATTCCATGATTTTAGGTGAACTGCTACCACCTCCGCCGCTGCCGCCACCAGCGCCGTTTCCTCCGACACTGCTCCTACCACTGCCCGACCCGATACTGATCTCGATCCCGTAACTGGGCGGCAGTGGTATATTGTGATGCTGCAGGTGCTGCTGCTGCTCTGGCTGATGGCAAGGATGATGAGAGTTCTGGACGGTTGCAGCTGCTGTCGCTACAAAACTCTCCGGATTGAAGTTCATTTGCTGTCTCAAGCAAAAGTCACTTGAATCTTTCACTCTTCCTCTCTCTCTCTCTCTCTCTCTGGGGATTATTTTGCTTATATATTCGGTGGGTTTTTTCCCTTGGCTCAATAAGCTTTTTAAGTTTTTTCCTCTTTTTCTCAACTTTAGTTCCGTTTCTCTGATTCTAGTTGTTTATGGAATGCAACGCGAAATGCATTCAATCAACATTTTATTAACTGATCTTTGCTCATAAGCTCGCAACACTGAAATCGAAGGAAATAACTTCAATTTAGTAATTTGTTTAATTGTGATTTTCACTTATTTACATATGTATTTTTGCAAACTTTGACCTCAATTGTTTTTATTCGAAACAAATAAAAATTTCATGATTTGAAAAAACTAAATAATTTTTATTTTATTTGATTATTTTCATTTATTATAACATTTCTCTAGTGGAAATCAGTGTGATTTAATCTTCGATTGGAGCATACTATATAAAATATATGTATTGAAATCTTTAGGGGCATAGACTTTTAGACTCGTCTGGCTAGAGATAGCCAAGAATAATAAACATTTTCGCTGGGATTTCCCCGTAAAATTAAGATGTATACACTTATTCTTGCTGTTCTACATATATACATACATATGTACATGTATGGATTCATATAATTTAAAATATCTGGGGATTGTTTAATTCGGATATAACAATGCAATCTCTATTTATATTTACAGATAAAAGGAAATGGATTTTTTATAAAGAGGGATATTGTCTTTGGATTACAAGTCCTTAGAATTTAGGTAATAATATGACAATGGAATGTTTTTTGTAGAAGAAGAAATTATAAGAAATTATACACAGTATAGTTAACCTAAATACTCTTCTTGAATTTGCCAACAGAATTATATTTTTAATAGATTAGCCAAATCTATTTACGTTCTCTGCTTTATTTGTTTTTGCTTATAAATGCATTATTTATTTGCTAAGCAATAATAGACTAGATAAGCGGAAATGAATTATCTAAAGACCCGAACTCGTATGCAATTCTGATCATAATTCACACTTGATTTCTTTGTTGATTTCCATTGTACGCATATATGTACATATACACATGTATGTTTCTATAATTAATTGCTTATTCAGCGAAGAGGAAAAATAAACATTTCAAGTATCTTGCAGTTGTTTTTCCTGGCCATCGATTAACATTTTCAAAAGAAATTCTCGGTGACGAGGAAAACGTTTGCGCCAAATGTCACAAGTCAAAGCGAAAATAAAAGCATCGATAACAGTCCAGTTATTCACAATAGACGGAAGCTTTTTGCACAGAAAAACACACAGCACACACACGCACACAGACGCACTCACACACACGCACCCGCGCCAACACACACACGCGCAAGCATAATTGAGCAGGGACACGTGCGCTTTCATTCGCCTCAACTGCGCGACGGACTATGTGTACACGCACGCACACACAGAGACGCACGCCGCCATGTGTGTATAAGTGTGTGAGTGAGCGACATCTCGATTTGACATCTATCTTTGTCGCCCGATTTGCTTCCTGGTAAGTTGTTCGTGTTCGGTCGTTTGCTAGTTCGTTCGCTAGTTTGCTTTGGTGTCGCGACGACAATTTGCTTGATAATTTAGCTTAGCACGCATTGCATTTAATACAAATGTTTTTTTAGTACACGTATTATTGCGTTGCTCAGAACTTTTTGCGCAGAGCGCAAAGTGCTGCTGTTGCTGCTGCTGCGCAAACAGCTGAATGAATCATAACGGTAAGAGCGAACACACAAACAACACAAACACACACGCACACAGACACACACACACACACATGTGTATTTAACGGGGAAAAACAATGGGCTTTGTAGGTGCACAGAATTTTATTTTAATTTTATTGAGCTGGCTTTTAAATGTAATTTTCCTTTTTTATTTTAATGAATTTGTTTTTTTCTTTACTTGATTTCAATTTAGCTGACTCAACTTTCGTTTATTTATTCACTGTTGTTTTAAAGCGCTTTTTAGGCCATTTCTTGTTGGTCTTATCGATTCACTTAACCTTGTTTTCCAAATAATTTGTTTCACGAAATATTTAGTTTTCATTTTTGTAATTATTTTACGTTCTTTGTTTTTGAAAGTAGCATAGTTTTAAGGGACTCGTTAAGTAACTTGCTGGGAATTGGCTTCCATTTGGCATGGGATTTTTCACACATTTATTTATTTACGTGTTAAATTTTTTATTATTCGTATTATTTCCGTGGATTTCATTGGAAATTGAATGTTAGTTGGGTTTTTTTCTTAATATGAGAGGCTTTTTATTGCAGCTTCGATTTGGATTGTGTTCACAGATATTTTTTAAATATTATTTGTACATACATACATACATACATATAAACATTTTTTTTTTTATACAAAAATCTGTAGTTTTTATATTCAACCACGGCTCTACACACAATTATTTATTTATTTTAAAATTTCACTTTGCATAGTTTCAGTTTTTATGATTCATCACTAACGAATTATTTGACTAGATTAATTATTTAAAAATATACAATTTTGTAAAACATTTTCAAACGAGTTCACACGATAAACAGTTGTGGGCCTCTGACAATTTCGAAAAAACAATAAAAAAAAATAGAAACAAAATGAACTCAAACATCGCAAAAAGTAAACAACATAAAAATCGGATCAGAAACTTAAAAATAAATTTCAAGGCACGTAAAAAACGAACGGCAAACACTCACACACAAACACGCACGCACACGCACAAACAGCAAGCGAGATAGTAAATAAAAATAATACAGTATATACATACATATGTATGTACATATATTTATATATGTGTGTGTGCTTGGGTTAAAAACACTTTTAGCTTATTTTGCGTATTTGGTATTTTACATTTTAGAATTTGTTGTAATTTGGCATTCCATTTCAGAAACTATATCAAAGCCGTTTCTTTATGCGCATATTTGTTTTTCCTTTATTTGTTAAGCAAACACACAATAATAACTACAATAACAACAACAGTAACAGCAACAGCAGAGTGCTGCTGTTAATGGCACGTCACCTCCCCCCGCACTCTCACTCGCACTCGCACTCGCACTCGCACTTGCTATTCAGAAGCAAACGCGATGTTACCGTTACCGCTAGTTTCATCTGCGCGCCCAAACCTTACTCTCTCTCTTTGTGATACAAGCGCTCGCGAACCACACCAGCTAACGTCTGAATCTAAACTGTGCGTCGCTTTTTCCCGACAAACACTGACAAACTTATCGAAATCGATTTGTAACGAACCTACAAATGCGACGACTGCGACGCGTCGCTGGCTGGGCTGCGTATTGAAATGAAATTTCTCGGTGGACGTTTGAATGAAACAAGCACAACGTACGCACACACGAACGCACACTTACATATTCGTGTATATGTGTGTGTGTGTACAAATGTATGCACAGAGAACAGACAGCGCCACCACTGCGCTGTTGACGTCTGCAGCGGCAGAGCCGCCACGTTCGGTAAACAGTTGTTTCGTGGAAAAACAAGCCGAACATCATAATGAAGTTGCTGTTGTGAAATTGTACGGTGCTTTGTCATGCTTAAAAAACAACAGCAACAGAGTACGCGCCAAAACACAAAAACGAGGGCAGCTCCATACCTACATATGTACATACATATGTAAGTGCAATAAAATCAAGAGTAATCATGACATGCGCAAATTTTGATAGATAAGCTGCAAACAGTGCTAACAATAACAACTAGAAATATCCATATTCTAATTATAGTTAGGTTATTTATAAATAAACGTGTTTATGTTGTGTATCGTTCCTGCGTATTTAGATGACATTTGAATACATTGGCACAAGCAAAAGTTTGATAAGCGCTTCTAACAGCCCTCGCACGAACGCTAGTTGCTTCTTGCCACCAACACATGCGCAACGAGTCAAACAAACAAATAGAATGCGAAGCAGAAATGGCAAAAAATTAAACAAACAAGTAGACAGGAGCGGTTCAGGTTTGGATCCAGTCGATGGAGCAGCGGGTGGCGGCTGCCGCGAGGCCGAGTTGAACGAACGAGGGCAGAAAATAACACTAACAATAAATACACATCTAAAAATTTCTACTACGGCGTAGTAAAATTTCTAAAAGCTGATAGAATTTTTGCCTCAATCTGCCATGCTTAGCTACATACATACATACATATATATGTGTGTATGTGTATATGTAAGTATTTGTTTAATTTTGTTTGCTCGTTAGTTGAGTTAGTTGAAGGGAGGGAGGGCGCTGTTTTGTGGATGTGTGGTTGCCTGTGCCAGGCAGGTGCTGAGCTACTCTAGCTTTATCGCATTCTGCTGCTTATTCACTCGCACTCGCTTTCGTACAGCAGCTCACCTCAGCCCGCTCGCTGCATGTTTGTTTGTTTATCGTGCTGTGTTTTATTGTTGGTGCTTTTGTTGGCGTTATTGCTGCTGCTGTTATTGTTGCTGTTGTTGCTTGGTGCGTAGTTTTTACGTTCGTCATCGTTGGTTTGGTATTTCCGTCTTCTGCTCGCGCTGACGCTGACGCTAGCGCTAGCGCTAGCCTATGTATATATATGTGTGTGGCATACATACATACATATGTCTCATTGTATATCGATAAATGTGCATCACTAAGTATGAATAAATACAATACTTAAATATACTTATAGCATAGAAATGACCATACACAAGCATGCATACCTAAATACACACAAATATAGTACAATATGCATCCATACATACAAACAGTCGCATACAAACTTACATAAATGTACATATGTATGTATTTGTGTACACTTGCTCGCCTTGAGTGTCGCCGTCAGAGTATTTTGCAGTGTTATTCTGCAAATAAAATGTCTTCGTATGCACATATACGCATATATGCTCACACACACACACTTACATGCATACGTATGCTGTGTAAATTGTTATTGCTTGCGTTAGTCGCGGTAGCAGCGGCAGCTGTTTTGTTTTTGTAGTTGCCAGCGCTGCTTCTGCTGCTGCCGCTGCTGCTACTGCTGCTCACTCGGTGCCGTTGCCAAAGTGCATTGCGTTTTCGCTCTTTTGCGTGGGAGCCGTAAAAGCTACTGTTCTTCATGGTTTACTGCTAGCTCGCTCTCTTTCACTCTCTCGCGTGCGCAGATCTCACGTGCGGCTAGCCAACACCCCGTGCAACGGTATATTTATCTATTTCTTACGTAGTGGAATTCGCATTTGATGAAATTTATTTAATCTGTTTAACAATCGA